GTCACAACAAAAAACATTTCTACTCACAAGATCTCATTATATTACACTGCACAAGATTCAGGCCAAGTATAGTCTGGAGTGTGTGGCTGGAAAATAGCATTGCTGATGTCAAATCATCATTGTGTATGTGTTGATGTCACAATTTCCAGTTTTGCATACTTCCAGCAGTCATTAGGAAATCCCTGTACATGCTTGAAGATTGCACAAGAATTTCAAATCCTAATTTCAAGCAAGAGGATGTTCTTATTTTGTCAAAATATTGGATCTAAGTGGAAGTCTCCTCTGTAATCTAAAGCCATACACCTGATAGCAGCAGCATTTTTTCCCTAGCTAAATGGAACATTTGCATTCATTCTCTGCTTACTCAATGATGTATTAACACCACCACAACTTCTTTATTCATAGAATTTTTACTTAGAACATTTTAAAGGACAATAATTCCTTATTGACAAATTGATTCAAGAAATATTCTGAAGACATTTGTTTCTGTAGTGATCTGAGTTAGGTCTAAGTGATTTTTTTTGACCAATCATGACTATGAAGATTTAACAAGATTCTCCATGTTCATAACTAAATAAAACTGTCAGCGATATGCAACACAACTTAGGGTCTAACAAGGAAAGACTGTAAGCAATCTGATAATTCTGTGGAGGTGGAGAGGGTGTAAGAGTGCACAAAACCCAGTTGGATCAAGAGTTTGAAAATCTCAACAAAATTATCAGAAGGCTGCTATTGTTTTTCTTACATTCTTCATCTGCTTGTTATCCAAATTGACAGGCTAGACATCTGCAAGGTGTAGTGGCAGGGTGCAAAAGTAGAGGAGGCATGGAGCAGAACCAGTTGGCTCCTGTGCAACAATTTACAGCAACCTCCAAATCTGCATGACCTTCTGCATATCATTGTTAGATTGGCCTAATGTGTTACAGTTAACATCTGCACTAATGCAAGTACACTTAAAACACTGTGAATATCCTACCCAATATTTAATGCACCTTATATAAGAACAAAGCGTGGTAGGAGCTGATCTTTGGGAGGGAAATCTTTTGACCACAAGAAACTGCAGCAAATTAGGGTTCGTGGGCAGTGCCATTTGTCAATTAGCAGAACAAAGACTGAGAGTTTGTTTGAGAAGCCTGTGCAAAACGATTGATGCTCCTCCTGGACTACAAGCGATGTTATATAAAATATCTGGCTTCTGGATACAGAGAGCAGAACATAATTTCATGACTGCGTTTTCTGAACCCAGGAAAGCTAAACTGCAGTTATTTGCATTGTTCAATCCTAAAGTTAGCCACTGCCATGGAAACAGCAACAAATTTGTGTGCATAAGGTTGAAGACAAATTCCTTACCTTTTAGGGTTTTAAATCCCCAACCACTACCTGCGCATGTTGAGGTAGAGGTTAATATTGAATTTAATTCTTTATTCATTTATGGGATGAGGGCGTTGCTTTTAGGCAGCATTTATTGCCCATCCCTAATTGCCCAGAGGGCAGTTGAGCATCAACCACATTGCTGTGGGTCTGGAGTCACATGTAGGCTAGACCAGGTAAGGATGGCAGTTTCCTTACCTAAAGGACATTAGTGAACCAGATGGATTTTTCCTACAATCGACAATGGTTTCATGGTCATCACTAGATTCTTAATTCTGGATATTTATTGAATCCAAATTCCACCATCTGCCATGGCAGGATTCAAACACAGAATGTTATCTTGGCCTGCTTCTTAGTTTCAATCTTAAGTGGAGTCAAATTGAAATATCAATGAATCCAGATGCTTAGACCTTGCAAACTGGACATTATTTTTTAACTGAACACAACTTTTGTTCATTTTCCGCGAGTGTAAGTGAATTGCTTCCATGATCCATAAGTTGAATATTTTTGAGTACATTAATCAATAAGAGAAATTAGATGTTAGACAACAGAAGTTTAATTTCAGTGATAGGAGAAGAAAGGAACTTATTTAATTTCACTTTCACATGCTTCTTTTTATGATTACTACGCAGCTATTTCACATCTTGATAATAGCTAATAGTCATGGCCTTATATTGTCAAAGATAAAAGCAATGTAATTGATGTTGTGATTTATTGGGCTGCATTTTAACATCTCAAAACAGACAGGTTGGGGTCAACTCAGAGATAGAAAAATTAAAACCCAAACTCTGTTCCTGGTTTTATGAGGCAGGAGGAACAGGGGCCAACCCACATCCAGAGGATGGATTTGGTCATTTAACTATTTTAATATGGTTTCATGGATTCATTTTAATTTTGTTTTAATTTCAAGCAACAACTGGTCAGGTTTCTCATACCTAAAGAAACTTGGCAGATGAGAGGATGGGAGAACACCTGAGTCCATGAGTTAAGATGCCTTTCCATCACTGCTTCTACGTTTTGCTGCCTGGATAACAGGGTTGATGTTTGCACTACTGAAGTGTGTGATAATGTGAAACAAAAACACATTGCATTCCTTTTACAATTGATGGACAATTTTTCTCAGACATGCAAGTGACTGCACTTTTAAATTAATTCATTGGTTGCAAAGTGCTTGGCAATGTTTTGAGGATGTGAGCAGTTTTTTTAATTGCAATTTGTTCTTTGCTGTTAATAATGGCCACAGTTTATGGGTAATGCAATGAGTTTTCACATTGTTCTTTCACTTGTGCGATCTCTGTTTGTTCTGGTTTATTCTGGATGGACTGGAAATTTCTCACTGACCAGTTTGTGATCTGAAGTTAGCAATTGGATTGCAACATACAACTGCCCCAAGGCCTCTTCAAAATCAGGAGCTCCCTCAACTGTACTTAAATGTATTCCCTGGAGAATTCACCGCACGACCTGCCCCACACTCCAGCCATTTGTTGGCCAACATACCCATCCAATGCTAAATGGAAAGCAGACTCGTTACCCAACTGACTAAAGCTTTACTGTCAGTCTTGCTGCATTTCTTTTCACATTTGTGAGAGAAATATTCAAAGAATTTTTTTTCTATCAATTCAATGTCCCTGTGATTTTTCTCCAAGCTTTCACACATCACTGTCCTGGAGTTTTTTCCTTGATTCTTAGAGACTCCAGCAACGTGACTCAAAATTAATGCTGACAATTTATTTCAGTAAGCTCAGTTGGCGGCCCACATCTGACACAACTACATAAGAAACTTCTGCTGCTCTGAAGTTTGGATCACCCTGCTTATCAGCATCAACTGGGAGCAGGAAGGAAGCAGAATGAGAAGGGGCTAATTACTTTCAAAAGGACTTGGGAATTAAGTGAGCCATCCCCGCTTCTTCTGCTTTCACACAAACATTTAAAATATACAAGAAAATACTTATTTCAGAGACCACTGCCTAAACTACAGTAGCTATTTAACAATCCTGAATGGGAATGATGTCTGCTCATAAATTATAAGAAGTTAGGAGCAGAGGTATGTCATTCAGCCCATTGAGTCCACTCCGCCATTCAATAAAATCATGGCTGCCCATGTACCAACCTCTGTATAATTTGCCTTCTTCAATTACCACAAAGGCCTTTGACTCTGTCAACCGTGAAGAGTTGTGGAATATCCTCCTCAAATTTAGCTGCCTGCTAAATTTGTCATCAGTCCCGGCCTGCTTCACAATGACATGCGAGCTGTAATCTTCCACAATGGATCCACCACAGACCCAAGACCAGTGCAAACCAGGGTCAAACAGGACTGTGTCATTGCACCGACACATTTCTCATTCTATTTCCATGAAGCTCCCCATCAGAGTGGGTCTAACCTACAGGAAACTGGTCAACATTTGCCTCCAGGCCAGAACCAAGACCATTCTGACTTCTGTCGTCGAGCTGTATTACACAGACGATGCCTATATGTGAGTGTGCGCACCTAGAAGCTGAGCTACAAACCATCATCAATGCAATCACTGACTTGTAGTTGAGTTAACAGCCTCAGACTAAACTTCCAGAAAACAAATGTCCCCTATCACTCTGCTTGCGCTGCGCAACACTGACCCCCAACCATCAAAGTCCAAGGTGAGCCCCTAAACACTATGGATCATTTCCCATACCTCATCAGCCTCGTCCAGACATTGCTGATGAAATCCACAATCGACTTCAATGTGCCGATGCAGCTTTCGGATGCCTGAGGAACAGAGACCTTAGACTCAGCACCGAGCTCATGGTCTCCACTGCAACTGTCCCCGCCCTCCTGTGTGTATCAGAAACATGGACCATGTACAGCAGGCAGGTCAAATCTCTGGAGAGTTATCACCAATGTTGCCTTCACAAAATCCTGCAAACCCATTGGCAGGATGGGTGTACTAACATGACCGTCCTGTCCCAGGCCCATAACCTCAGTATTGAGGTAGTGGTCAGGCATGACCAGCCGCAATGGCTGGGTCACATGTCCACATGCCTGACACAAGACTCCCCAGACAAGTGCTCTGCTCCAAGCTCCATGATAATAAGAGATCACTAGGAGGGCAGAGGAAAAACTACAAGGACACCCTCAAATTCTCCATAAACAAATGCAACATCTCCACTGACACATGGGAATTGCTTGCCACAGATCACACAAATTGGAGAAGATGCAGCAGCTAAGGGGCCAACCATATTGAGCATCACTGAGTAGGGCACATATAGGCCAAGCACAGACAACAGAGAGATTGTAGAGTCCAGAGCATCCCCCCACAGCCCCACTTTCCCCAGCACTCACCTCTGCATCACAAACCAGCAGTCCAACCAAAGTGATCTAACCGACCACCACAAGAAATGCATTCACTTCTCTCAACAGGCACAGCAGCGCACCTTACCCAGGTAACGAGAAAGCACCGCAGTTTCTGCTCAGTTTTGAAATGGGGACGTGATGCGTGTTGGACAAATGTGATAACCACTACATTAGAGTGATGCAAATAAGGAGATACAATCAAACTGTACATTGACCCAACAAAATGGGTTGGAGAACTTCAGATTCGTTCTTCTCCAACACAGTTAAGTTGATAACTGAAATGGAAAAGTACTGCTTATTCTGCTGAAACCTGGGATTGAACCAGGGACACTTTAAGATCTTCAGGCTGATGCTCTCCCAACTGAGCTATTTCAGCAATTATAGAGATTATTTCTACAGTGATGCTTCCAATTGTCAACTGTAACTTTGGCAGAACATCTGGGGAAATTCTGAAGAAAGCAGAATTTGGAAATTTACTTAATTTTGCTATACAGCTGGAGCATAATCTTCTACTACTTTATATTCCAGCCCTTGAGGTAAAAGGTACAAGTCTTTTCAATCATGTTTTTCATACCAATCAAATATTTTTAATAACATTTGTATTTAGATCCCTAAATCTCACTGTATTTCACAATTCTTAGTTTAAGAATTCTTAGTTTAAAAGCTATCATAACTAAATGTCAAGTTATTAATATGAGACAACTTGGATATATATATACATATCTATTCCTTCATTTAAGTCATTGCTAAGTAACATGAAAAGCTAAGGGACCAGTGAACAACTTGTTCACAGGTCTGTAGTTCATTCTGACCTGCAAATTACATGTGAAATATTTAAAGAATCACTTAAAAGCTCTGAAGTTCATTTGAGACAATTTATTAAAGGAAAAGTGGAAGTGAAAAACAAAAATAAAACCACCTATTGATTTTAATGGTAATGCCCCATTTTCTACTTAGCAACAGAAATTAGCCAGCAATACAATGCCCAAATATTCTTGGAATAAATGGACATGTAATCATGCGTCTAGCTCCTGTATATGCAAATGTCTGTTTCCAGCAATCAGTCTGGCCTCCTTATTGACTGCAGTTTTTTTCCATGTCTTGATTGCATTAAAAAAGTTATCTCAACTGCTTCTTTGAACATTTCCTTTTAATGGTGGACAGGATGTTACCTTGTCAAAGTGCTATTGACCTATTGATTGACCTAAAGCCTTATACCATGAGTACCAATTATTTGTGATTTTGTTTTCAATCAAAACAATGTTTTTATATGACTCTTTCCCATTTACTTAAGTTTTCTTTCAGTTATGTTTCCATTGCATGAAGAAACATAACATTAGCAGTTGATTGACTGGTTATCTTACACAAATCTCAATTGCTTAGCAGACAAAATTTCTGATGTTTTATTTATGCAAGAGGCACATTAAGATTTGTGCAATCTCACGAAAGTCTAATTTCTCATCACTTGTAAAAACATCTTTTTGTTACGAAAGGAAACTTTCATAATGTGATTATGTTTTGAATCATCTCTTTAATTCAAGGTTAAATGGAGTAATGAAGGGAGTCACATGTTTTACAGTGTGTTCTGCCCAACAAGAAGACTACTGGGCTTGTTTACCATGGAAACTGGGATTACAGGTTGAGGCTAACAGACAGCAAAGTGTAACTTTCTACACCTGAAATCAAAGGCAGGATCAGCTGGACTGACTGCAGGAGAGCACCTTTGCTGGTCACTGAATGTTAGGACACAATAGAATGGGGGATGACACAAACCGGTTTGATGTTATGAGTGACTGTGGCCTGTTTCCTATTAAGTCTTCAATCCTGTGGAAAGTGTTCTGTGAAGTATATATGTGCAGCATAGGGTTAATGGTCATGTTCTGACATCAATAAGGTCTATAATTTCTGCAGCTTAAAGTATTAGTTTATTGCTTATTGACGTGGAAAGGATGTTTAATCTTGTAGAGGAGTACAGAACTAGGGAACACTATTTCAAAGTTCGGGATTCCCTTTTTAGAACAGAAACAAAGAGAACTGTTTTATCTCAGAATTCTGCAATTTTGGTACTCAGGAGGCAGTGGAGGCAGGGTTATTTAATATTTAAAGATGGTGGCAGATAGACTTGTTTTGAGTTAGGGAATCCAAGGTCATTAGGTTTAGATAGGAATGTGACATTTGAAACAGTAACAGATCAGCCATGTTCTAATGGAATGGTAGAACACTTGAAATATAATTCATATACGTTCATATAGGTAATTATCAGTCAATATTGCTTTTAACTTGTTACAGTAGCAGTCTTAAAACTTAAAATCCTGTCATGCATCTTGAAGTTGGTCACTGAGAAATTAAATCCTTTGTTTACATTTAACAGTCTCTATGGGGATCATAACCCTTTCGTTACTCAATGCTTTTGTTCCTTTTTCATAGCACCATCTTTTTTTATAATGTTTTGTAATAATTAAGCAGATTTTAATTTCAAATCAAGAAATCCACATCAACACCATACCCAACATCCAAAGCATACTGGCTATCCAACTAGGGAAATTTTTGTCAAAGCAGGCTTCTTTTCCTTAGGCATCATAAGTCATACATACTGCTAAGAAGAGTCACTATCCATTATCCTTACTTTTGTTCTCTCCTACCTACGCAACAATTCCCTGTCCATGTAAGTAGTTTGCCTCCAATTCAACGTGGAATTAATTTTTGCTAACAAACGTTAGTGCAGAATCTTGCTGAATGCCTTTTGGAATCCCATGTGGAAAACAACTATAGATGCTTCCTTTTCATCATGTTAGTTTGGCCACAAACAGAAAATCAGTTAGGTTCATTAGACATGGCTTACCTTTTAGAAATTAATGCGGACTGTCTCTGATGTATTTCCATAAAGACAGAAAACAATGTAGAATTGGTTTTGGCAATATTTCAGACTTAATTTAATAATACTGCTCTTTTTTTTTCTACAGAAGGTGGGAGAATAGCTGGTGTTATGTGTAAATTATGACAAGCTACCTTTAATTTGACAATTCATTAAGAAATCTCACAAATACTGAAATAATTATTTAAACTTATTGCATGTTGCAACCTAAATAAGACCCCTCAAGTAATCAAGCTATGATGCATAACCCAACTGATTTTATTTGCTTTATTATTGTCACATGTGCCTAAGTACAGTGAAAAGTTTAGTTTTGCATGCATTACAGGCAGATCATAACATACAAGGACATACAAATCATGGGGTGGTTGAACAGAGTGAGGCATTCAAAGTTACAGCTCCACAGAAGGTGTACAAAAGCAAGATTAACATTAGGTTTGAAATTTGAGATGTCCATTCAGCAACCTAATGTCAGCATGGAAAGAACTGTTCTTGAACCTGTTGGTACGTGTTTAAGCATCTGTATCTTCAATGGAAGAAGTTGGAAGAGTTTATAACTGGGGTGGGAGGGGTCTTTGATAATGCTGGCTGCCTTTGAGGGCAATGAGAAGTGTAGATGGAGTCAGTGGGTGGGAGGTTGGTATCCGTGATGGTCTGGGCTGTGTTCACAACTTTTATGTAGTTTCTCACTGTCCTGGGCAGAGCAGTTGCTGTACCAAGCCATGATGCATCCGGATAGAATGCTTTCTATAGTGCATCTATCGAAGCTGGTGAGGGTCGTTGTGGACATGCCGAACTTAGATAGTACTTGATTAATATTGGAATTTAGCTATGATTCCAACCAAAAGTGTCTGTCTCTGGATGTGTCCAGGGTTCAATCCTTGTGCATGTTGTTCTTCAAAGTTCTGCAGCTGCAGAATCCTGGAGTTGAATTCTTATGTAAATATCTCTCTTTCAAGTTTGTGGTGTGACATAATTGATGAACCTTTAGATCCTTTCATCCCCAACATTGATTACACATCTGGAATCCTCTGGTTTGCAGCTTGCCTTCTTCTCAGAAGTAACTTTCCCTTTCCTTGTTACATTTGGCATTGACTGTTTGCTTGAAGACACAACTTTTCTTGCAATTAACCCTGTTACCTCAGGACATTCCTTCTTCAGGCAATTGTAATTGCTGTTTTGTCATAAGGCAGCAGCTTATCAAGCAGTTGTTATCTCTTCTCTTCCCAAGAAGGCTTCAACTCCTTCTTCCCAGGGATGGTTAATTAGCGTGTTGTTTTTAATTCCTTTATAACAGTTTCTCCTTGTCCATTTCATCTTGGGAAACAATTCATTCCAGAAAGAGTTATTGATGATCCTTTGAATCCATGACCAGTTATTAAAAGTTCTGAAGTTTACAGTATCGCGCTGTATCGATTTTATATATTTATGCTTGTGTCATGACTATATGTATTTTTTGGCATATTTATTGAATTAAGTTGTGAACATTTAATTCAGTTTCAGCTTCTGGCAGTCACTTGGGACTATAAATCAGTCAATTTCATCAGTTTAAAAATATCAATGAGGAATGCAATCCAAAAATGAAGGTCTAGTATATATGAATTCTCAATATTAATTCATTTCCAAACCTTATCACATCATAATCACTGCATGCTGGCTCAGTGGCTACCACTGGAGCCTCACAACGCTAGGGACCCAGGTTCGATTCCACCTTCAGGCGACTGTCTGTGTGAAGTTTGCACATTCTCCCTGTGTCTGTGTCAGGTTTCTCTGTGTGCTCCAGTTTCCTCCCAGTCCAAAGATGTGCAGGTTATGTCGATTGACCATGTTAAATTATCCGTAGTGTGCAGGCTGGGTGGGTTGGCGATGGGAAATGCAGGGTTACAGGGATAGGGTGGGGGGTGGGGGCATTGGCTCTGAGTGGGATGCTTTTTGTTGGGTCAGTGTGGACTTGATGAGCTAAATGGTCTGCTTTCACCCTGTAGGGATTCCATGATAATCTTAAATAATTTTGATGAAGCGAACCCTATACCTGTGGAAGCTAATCCAGGCTTTTCAAGTGCTGAATGCTTTTAATAGAAAACAGATGCATGTTGTTACTCCTACAATTAATGACCCAGAAAGCATATGATCTCTAGAGGTGACATTGCATCAACAGCTCATTCATTATACAACAAAAGAACTCTCATTCCCAGAACAGCTGTGTAAACAAACTCTGTAGTACAGAATCCATTATAGCTGTGCTTGCAGCCAGTAGCAGCACTAGGTGCTGTGCAACGCATACACTGTCCAAACTCATCACAGTCTTCCAGTTTACAAAGGCTACAATTCATTTTACAAGAGTACTAAAATTTGAGTAAGGCATTATAAATGTCAAACCTTGCTAAACCTTATCCACAGGCAATACAGTGTGGAGCTGGAGGGACACAGCAGGTCAGGCAGCATCAGAAAAGCAGGAAAATCGACATTTCAGGCCTAGACCCTTCATCAGGACTGGTGAGGGG